AAGTGGTAGTTTAGTCACATTACTACTGGTGAAACAAAATTACAATAAAGAAAACATCAATGAGGAAAAGCACTAAACTACCTACCACCAGAAAGACAGCTGGAAAAAGAAACACCAAAACACCACCTTTTTTAAAAAAAAAGTTGTAGTTTAGTCACGTCACTACTAGCGAAACAAAATTACAATGAAGAAAAACGTCAATGCGGAAAACACTGAACTACTTACTACACTACAATAGTGACACGAAGGAGGACAGCTAGCAAAAGAAACACCAAAACGCCACCTTTTTGAAAAAAAAGTGGTAGTTTAGTCAAAATTACAACGAAGAAAAATGTCAATGCGAAAAAGCACTGAACTACTTACCACTACTACAATAGCGACATGAAAGACAGCTAGCAAAAGAAACATCAAAACACCACCTTTTTGAAAAAAAGGGTGTAGTTTAGTCACATCACTACCGGTGAAATGAAGAATTAGCACCAAAAATGTCAATATGGACCAAGCAACGACGAAAGAGTAGATGAAAAAAATACCAAAATGGTGCCTAACAATTAAATCCAAAATACCAAACACTTGAATACATGAAAAGTTAAGTAATACTAACAATAGAATCTGAAAAAGTACTAAACTACTTACCATTAGCATTTAAAATCCCAACACCAATGATGATACCAGTGGCGAAAGATGATATAGCTAAATAAAAAAACAAAAAACCATCAAAACCATAAAAGCTATCAAGATAATTATTGTGCTATGTAAAAAAAATACTTACATTCAGACTATTCTGATCTGGAAAAGATCGTTTGGCAGTCAGATCAACATATAAATTCTAATCATGTGATTTATTCGTTATTTGATTGACTAAAAGGTTAGAGATATATAAGTTATATATCTCTAACCAAAGATATATAGAAAAATCCATAAATTTTATTTAATATAATAATATATAATAGAAAAATATCAACTCTTTCCAATGATCATCTGTACCAAAAAATCCAAACATATTTTTTGTAAAAACACAATAGCATTTAGTAAAACACAAAGAGCATACTAGTTGGCAGTTGTTATTTAGAGGTAGTTCTCATATGCTACCTGCTAACTTCTTCAGAGTTTATCACTCATCGCAAGCACGGCACTTGTTGTTTAGAAGTAGTTCTTATACGCTACTTGCCGACAAGCCCAGAGTTTACCACTTACCAAAAAAAGAGTATAGATGCCCCACCCCTTTCCTAGAAGAAGGTTTAGAAGTTGTTGAGTCTTTATATGGATATAATACTTTTTTTGGGTGCAAGTGGTCTCTCCCTAGGTCTTTTTTGCTTGGCTAGTCTTTTCCAAAATTTTTGACAAAAAGTGGGCGATTTGGCTTACTCTTTCCAAAGAATTAGCATTGTTTATCTCTCAAATTCAGACGTACTTAAAACTGCAACCACATGTCTTGTTTATTGGTGGATACGATACACAACGTACTCTATGGATATGGGTTCTCCATGTGACTAAGATCAGGTTTCTGATAAAAAAGGTATCCAGAGGTGGCCAGTAGTTAAATAAAAATTTGTTAGATTTTATAGTCGAGATATACAAATATTGCAGTTGTTATAAAATTTTTTCTTAAACCTGGCACGGGTTATAATAGTATACTTTTCTTTTTTCTTTCGTTCTATTTGTACTGCTTCTTGATAGAGGTAGTTCTCCTCTTTGTTGGCTCCCAGGCTTTTCTTTTTGTTTTTGTTTTTTTTTTTACATTTCATTATACCCTCTTTTAGTTTCTTTAAAAATTCCTCTTTGTTCTATTTGTTTTTTTTAGTGCTTTTCCTCATTGATGTTTTCTTTATTGTAATTTTGTTTCACCAGTAGTAATGTGACTAAACTACCACTT